CCCTTCCAACCCTGACAGTTCCATGATTCTACGATTCTCTGTGTCCTTTTCATTTCCATATCTTTATGGGACTTCTAGGTATGTTGGTCAGATTGTCTGAGCAAACAAGGAGGGAACTGACTTACCAGATACAAAATGGAAAAGTGGAGAGAATTGTGATCTGGGCTCCTGGAAGCCTCGTTGCAGGGCAGAAAAACTTTAGCTGCCGTAAGCAACAGTTCACATATGTAACCCTCCAATCAATCAGAAAACTAAAGAGAAAAGGGGCTGTCCTAAAGTGACTCAGTAAGCCAAACAGACCAAGGAAAGGAAAGCCAAGGGAAGCGCCTTTGGGAAGATGGGAGAACATTGTGCTGAGGCAGGAAACACATCTGCTGAAGTAAGCAGATGAGAAGGTTCAAAGGACTGAAAAAATTATAGGTGACAAGGGTAACAATTTGGTGAGCACTTGGAACCGCAAGGGTCTGAACCTGCAGCATGGCCCAAAGCAATGTCACCTCCAGGGTCCCAGGACTGGTGAAGCCTTGCGCCTGGGCAGTCTACATCACTGGCTCAGAGTCTATCTCGTTTGGTGTGTACCTGATAAAACTCAGCTGAAAAGGACAGACTTTCAGTTCCTGACTCCTCAGCTGCTTCTAATACTGCCTTGGCATTTTCCAAAGGGGTAACTCCATCAGAATTCAACCACATACTGGGATAAAACATGCTGAGCACTGAAGTTACACAGTAACTCATTTAGGATTGAAGTTTGCAAAATGAAACCTGAAGTTACATCAAAGTTGAGTTTATTTATGACAAATCATTCATTATATATTACAATAATTACAAACTTTGCTTTTTTACACCTTATTGCCATATTTTTGTTCTCAGCACACAGAAGATGATCAAGAACATGGATTTAGGCAGTAACAAAAAAAAGATATTAAAATTACAAATTTTGTGTCTCATTTCTGTGCCATAGAAAAGGCTATCATCAAAAGAGTGAAGTTACTAACAAGCATACAAGGGGATTCCCCTTACACCTTTTTTCCCAGGAACTTTCGTCATCTAATGTATAGTAAATACATATATATACACACACACCGCTTGCAAACATACACATTCACACATTTATGTAAATCACTAGAAATCTGACATCTCTCCTCTGGCAGAAAATTCCCAGTCCCTGACCATCTAATGGAAAAAAAAAATAATTCTGGAGTCCATGGTTTTAAATGTCACCCTACTTCTGACCCAGCTGTTATCTTCTCCCTACGCAGGGCCACCAGTGTAACAAAAGGGTATTGCAGTCTGTGACAAACAGCATCCAACCTACCTTTGCCACAGGAAAGGTCTACAAGGGATACTGTCCCTCTCATACCTAGTCTGAGTCACTGCTGCTGCTTGAGGAGTCTGTCGACATAACTTCTACATCATCTTCGTTCTCTTTGTTGTGTCCTGGAGGCTCCAACATGAAGTCATTACTATGATTAGGAGGTAGCATGTTCATTGACATATCACTTGACTGCCAAGGATACTGAGGTGCAAGGACATCTGGAAAAAAATGGCATAATCGATCAAACGATCAGCTTTGTGTATCAACAAATTCAACACGAGAGCTCAACCAGAACGCCAATTTAAAACTGAAGCAAATCTTAAAACCCTTCCTGAATTTTTGGAAAGTAGCAGCTGGAAAACATCTCATGATGAAGCCACTCTATCACTGTAAAACCCTACTCTGCCGGAGAGGCCTGTTTATGTAGATGGCTCTCAATCTCTCATCACTCCACTACAAAAGAGTGTATATTCCTTACAGAGCTTTTCACTTTCACAGCACAGTTTGAACTGACTTAACATGCACAACCACTGACAGTAATTAAAATGGTCACCTCTGTCAGAATGAAAAACTAGATGAAAACATTAGATTAAAAAATACTTAAGGTAGACTACAGAAATTCAGAGTAAAAGGTTTTATCCAAAGTTGCCTGAAACACCCTGGTTATCATTTTTCCAGTAGAAAACACGGTGCATCAAGTGCAAAGGAGAAGTGTTCTACTAAAACACCAGTGCCACAGAGATACTTGAGAGGTAGGAATGTCTCACTGTGCCACAGCCAGGCCAGCCTCAGTTGCTTCTGACTTCTCTCAGCTCTCACCATTTCTTCTGTCCCTCTTATACTTCTAAAGCTATCCCACACTGTGCTGCCAATCTGCACTCCCACCACATCTCCTTACTCTCACTGAGAAGCATAGACTCCACAAACAGTAGCTTCTGACCTTTTACGTCTGCAAACACCTGAGATTCCACATCTGAGCTACAGCCACGGTCTCCTCATACCAGAAGCGTTACCCAGCCGTGCAAACCTGAGCCACCGGCAGATGCGAGGATGTAACACAGCCTTTATGCCACTCTGGTGCCCGCTTTAGGAAGATCAACAACAGCATCAGGTGGTCTCAGCTGTTTTGAGGCCACCAAGCAGCCCAGGGGCTGGCTTACAGACTCAGTAAGGACTCATTAATTAGACATCTCTCTGCAGAAGTCTCTAAAAGGTTCCCGTAATCAACATCCTCAGGACATGCCTCCGCACACCAACAGATTCAGGATCCCTACATAACATGCCAGGGCAGCTTCTACTTTGTTTTAAATGAAGTTTTAATGCTTCCCCTCTTACCTGTCAGTCTAGTAATTAGAAGATTTCCCCTGACATAAGAGACCCCTATTCAATTAACAACTTTACTTGAGGAGCTTGAATTGCACATTTTCCAACTTCTCAAGGAAAAGACCTAAAGAGCAGGCTTTTAGTTCTTACAGCACTCAAAAGCAAAAGCAGCAGATCTGCATCTCCTAAGACAGAGAAGCCAGCCAGAATGGGCTTTACCAAAACTTACACAAATAAATGCTCAAACTCCATGAGGAAGACAGAACCTTAATCTCTTCTCTAATCATTATTTCAGAAGTGCTGAAAAGATACACAGGCTCATCCTCAGCATTTCCCTGGTGGGCTGCTATGGACAGATGTTAGTGTCTCACTCCTGTTCAGCTCACTGACCCCTTTAATCCAAGACCAGAGGTTTAGAAAGCGAGATGAAGCAGAACTTCAAGTCACTCCCTAAGAGGCGACAAGAGGATTGGACAGATGACTGGAAACACAAAATCCAGATTTACTATTTCTTCAGTGGAGTTGGGATACAATTTTTTTAATATATTCAGTATAATATTTCAAAGCAAGCTTTCTGTAACAGCTTCAAGTGACTTAACAGATGGCAAGAGCCATTACAGATCTCCTGTGAATCCAAACTATGATTTTTTTTTTCCACAGTTTGGTCTAACCATGCTAAACTAATGCTGCACATGTACAGAACCACTTAATTCTTGATTCAGTTACTGTAATTTTCTGCTAAATTTTATTTTAGCATGAATGAAGGAATCCTACTTAAGTCAATGGGAAAGTCCATTTCACTAAGCAATCAAGCGGTTAAAACTTGATTCCTACACTCAAGGTACTACCTCACCAGTTGTCCTTTGCAAGTCTTTTCAGCCCAGAACTTCTAAACAAAATCTTGCTATGTAGAGCGTAGACTTAAAGGTAGGTAGGGGATGACAATAAATCCCTTTTCTTCGAAATACAGCTTTTACAATTCCCTAGGTTTGTCATCACTGATAAGAAAAGTTTGTTTTGAAAATGCTTCTTTCTAACAGGAATTGATATCACTCAATTTATAGCAATTTTAAAAAAGTGAAATAAGGGTAACTAAGTGAGTTTTGTTTATATTGATTAGTTGTAGCATCCGCGTATGATTTAGCACGAAATAAAATAAAATTACACAATTTCTAATTGTTAACTTTATTTGCTAACAATGTTAGCCATAATTTTGATTATTTCAACTCTGCTTTGCCTTCGCTAAAGGAGATATATAATTGCTGTGACAGTACAAAGAATAAAGAAAAGCAAGAGAAAACTGAGTTTCTCTTACCTGGCAGCCTGCCTGCTGCAAGTGCATCCCCTGGTAAGTGTCCATTAACTCCATTGGTGGATGGGTTGTTCATCTGACCCAAGAGGCCACTCCTCATTTCCAGATCTGTAGGATATGGCCTTCGTGGGTCCCCTTTAAGAAAAAAAGCAAAAGGAGTGGTTTTAACTATTTAACAGTTGTCGCCGGGATATTAACTTATTCTTCAGTGCCTGGCTTCCCAACCAGAAAAAAACAAAAAACATGCTCTGACTGCTTGGATCAGCAACGAGCATCACACTTGTGCTGTTAAAATCCAAGTCTCTGTCTTTTCCTTAGACTTTCTTTGTTCATTCAAGCAGTCCAAGGAAGGGCAACCAAGTTGGTGAAGGGTCTGGAGAAAAAAATTTTATGATGAACAGCTGAGGGAACTGGGATTGTTTAGTCTGGAGAAGAGAAGGATGAGGGGAGACCTTATTGCTCTCTACAACTACCTGAAAGGAGGCTGTAGTGAGGTGTAGGTCAGTCTCTTCTCCCAAGTAACAAATGACAGGACAAAAGGAAATGGGCTCAAGTTGTGCCAGAGGAGGTTTAGATTGGATATTAGGAAAACTTTCTTGACTGAAAGAGTAGTAAAACGTTGGAAGAGGCTGCCTAGGAAAATGAGAGACATCATCCCTGGAGGTGTCTAAAAAATGTGGAGACGTGGCACTTCAGTACATGGTTTAGAGGTCACGGTAGTGTTGGTTGATGGTTGGACTTGATGATCTTAAAGGTCTTTTCCAAGCTAAATGATTCTATGATTCTAAGCTTGGCAGAAAAAGCACATTAAAAAAACAAAACCAAAAGCATGTTTTGAAGATATCTGTGCTCTCCATGCTCCCTCACAGCTAAACACCAAGGACAGGAATTAGAAAAACCACATTCTCATTTTGGACAAGGAAGACAGTTCCCAAAACGGAAACCTGACATAATAAAAGCTCTCCTTCTGACTCCACTGATTACCAATATCCTCTGAAAATAATATTGTAAGGGGCAAGAGGGAACAAAACCAAGCACGTGGAAAAGCCTTTAATATATTTTTTTCTAGATTATAACTGGGACCAACATTTGGGCTAAAAAGCAAACAAAGGAGAGCAGAGAAGACCTGTCAGTTAACGGAAGCATGCGGTTTTGTAGCATTTAAGTTTATGTGAAGTTTACAGGACTTTCATTATCAATTTTGGTTGAAAATAGTAGATGTAACAGTTGAAAACAACATTACTCTAATAAACCCCAGTGCTTTTCACTGTATAAAAGCATTACAAGACCCAATATTGAACATGCTTTATTATGAAAAAAAAATAATCGAACGTCATAAGCATCACCATTACCTGGTACCCATGTCAAAGGGGCACAAACAGCATTGCTAGCACTGATCCTATGGGCATATTTAATTATTTCTTCAGAGGAAATGGCACCTGGAAGAACGGAAGAAAAGTTACTATATTCTCAAGAAATTGCACCCTTCAATTATTTCAGAATAGGGGATGCTAATAGCTAAAATATTAGGAATGTAGTTTTGTCAAACATTGTTTCAAATGCAGTGACTGCTTAGAGAGTTTTAGACTATGCAAGAAAGAAGCTTCACGGTGAAATGACTTTACAGGCGCTGGTCCAGTACACCTTCAGTGTCAACAGTGCTTCAACCTTGTGCTGTCTAATCAGTGTACTTGACAAGCACAATCTGTAAGAAAACTTCATGCTTTATTACGGCACCTTCTGTAGTAAATAAATTTTTTGTTTACTAATTGTAGAGCATAGATCTAGCCCTTCTAAATACAAGCCTGTATTGCAGTAATAAAAACGTTATGAAATTCCTTGGGTATTTTAGATAAAAGAGGTATAACAATGATTAAAGGCACTGTAAAAAAAAAAAATGACTCCTACAACAAAAAAAAAACCTTGAAAAAGTCAGTTTAGCTCGGTAAGTGCAACAGAGAGGCAGTAATTGCTACAAATGAACTGGTATCACCAGCTAGTGGGTCTTTCAAATAAAATTCACATGCACACATTCTCTCCCTTTCCTCAGCAGACATGAGTGAGACCTTTAGGTAATCGAAACACTGTTATCAGTCCAAGAATCACAGTCTTTTACTATACTGATATTGTGCGACCTATAGCAGAATTCACAGAATTGCAGGATGTTAGGGGTTGGAGGGGACGTCTGCAGATCATCTAGTCCAATCTCCCTGCCAGAGCAGGATCACCTGGACTAGGTCACACTAGTGGCCTCTTAGTGGCCCTGTGCTGGACTCTCTCCAG